AAGATCCATAATAATGACAACTTTATATGGCTAATTGATCGTATTTATATGGACAAATATTTGAAGTAGACCATTTTTAAAACTTAATTAGTAGAATAGACCGAAAAAGTATTTAATTAGAAAAATAGGCCATTTTTGCTAAAAGTTGGTCTATTTTGCTTATTAAATGTCAAATTTGGTCTATTTCAAAATTTTATCAATTTTAAAACTATTTTGTTCATAAAAAAAATTATAAACATGATATATAAATTGTGAAAGTTACATTTGATGCAATGCAATTATAATTTTCTATTTAATTGTAAAAAGTAAGTTTCTAGAAAAACCTTGGAGTAAATTTAGTTGTGCATTGTTCTTTAGAAAGTGTTGTGTTGTAGTTAACAAATGTATAGTATAATAAAATGAATTTCCATTGTCATTACTATATTAAAATTTTGCTAATTAAAATTTTTTCAGTCTATTTTGCTAATTAAGTTTTAAATGTGGTCTATTTCAAAGATTTGTCCTATTTTTATCACTATACTCTATTGCACAAACTGATGCATCTTAGCATGCCACATCTACAGATGATCACTTTCATTTGTGGAATCTTCTTTCAAATTTGTATATGTATATTTTTTTCATTATTGTCCATATCATATATTATTGTTAGCGCCAAATATGATAATGAAATTTATGATTGTTAAAGATCAAAATCCTCACGCGCACACACACAGACACCCATCTAGGGTTACAATACACACAAAGTGTAACTAAGTTACACACACTTGTAAAAATACAACTTTGCCCATCTATAGTGTAAATCCAAACTGTTCATCATTATATACATGTCATCAAATCTAAGTGGATCAAAATCATGTGATTTGGAATTTTCTATCCAGTGATTCAAACAACACAAAATAACCTACATATATAAAGTATGCATGATATCATAGCATGCTATTGTGGTTCACATGCCTAACTGTTCCTGTTTGATCTAAATTAATTAGTCATTGATATGCTTTTGCCATATAATGTTTTACTCGAACATGTCTAATATGTGTTACACTAATTTTAGATACTAATTTGCGATGTCAAGATGTATCAAAGTGCCCACTATCTGCTGATATGCATTTATCCATATGATCTTTTGCTTGGACGTGTAATTTTTGTTACACTATCTTTATGAATCTAATTTGCAATGTAGAGTTGTATGATGGAAGGCCCATTGTTTGATTCTTTGTATCAAAATCTTGAAGTTTTGCAACTTCAGTTCTGGTAGACTCCACCATGGCAAACATTGCAGTTGCTATGGACAAATCACTCGGATGTTTTCAACTCTGGACATTAGAAATATGAAACTACGTGAAGAGAACAATATAGTAAGTATATGAATCACATGGCTGTTGTTTTTAACTTCTCATAAAATTTAACCTGAGATAACCTATTATTTTCCTTTATATCAATAGAATCAACAGTTATTCAAATCGAGAATTGGTTTAAAGGCTCAAGATTTCACAAAGCATCAATTGTCGTGCCTTGGGGAGCTGAGAAGAGTAGTATACAATGACTTTACACGGGCTCTTGGGAATGATGACGATAACAGCTTCAAACAGTGATCAGACTCATTATATCTCTATGATTGCTGAAGATCTGCAAAAGCTCGCATCTGCATCTCCTCATGTGAAGGTAATTTTGAAGCAACGAAGACACTTGCGAGCAACATCCTTGGATGCCATCAATCATAGGGTTGATCCTAAGCTTGATTCAAATCCAGCCTATCCATATATAATTTATGTTATCTTTGTTGAAGTTTTGTTAAGATTTGGGTACATTAGCTTTTAAAAGGAGAAGTTGAAGAAATTAATTACGATTATGTTTTATCGTTTGGGCTAGTAAGTGATTTTATCTTCTTTCTTTTTAGTTAGCATATCCTAGTTAGGACTTTATTTTATCTTTATCTATCTTCGTCCTTTTTGTTAGTGTAATGTTGCAAGTTATTTATTTCACTTTAGTTAGCATATCCTAGTTGCGGATCTTCTGAAGCCTGGGTCATGTGGAGATTAAGCTTGTTTTTGTTGACTGTATTTTGTATTTTGCATTTTGTTCAAGAGCTACATGTTTTCAAAGCTCACAAGTCTTTTGTATAAGTTTTGGGTTCTTAGATATCTTTGTATGAGTGAGGGATGCCTCACTTTAGAACTTCTCGCTCTCAAAATGAGAGGCGAAACCATGTATTTTCCTTTAATTTCAATGATATCTAATTTTCTGTGAAACAAATGGAGGTAATCACTCATAAATTTTATGCGTGTGCGAAAATAAATACCAAGCATTACCTTTTTATCTTTTTTTTCTGTGAGTTGAGCAACAAGCTTTTATTAATTTTTTTAAAATTAGGTACTTGCCCTAACGGTTCTAACCGTTGGGGACAATTTTTTTATTTTTTAAAATTTAAAAATAAAATTTTCTTGTCCCAACGGTTGTAATCGTTGGGGTAAGTTTTTCAACCGTTGGAGCAAATTCAGTCCCAACGCGATTTGCCGCAACGATTGTTTTAGTAGCCCCAACGGTTACAACCATTGAGGACATGCTCAGCCCCAACGGTTACAAGCGTTGGAGCTGTTATAGTTTGTAGTAGTGAATTAGTGCCACAAAGCTATCTTCTTTTTAACATTTGATTTTCCAAAATCTAATTTTGAAAATTTTATGCTCAAAACCTTAATTTTTAAAATTAGATTTAATTAATTATAAAAAAGTTCAAATTATCCAATTTAAAAAGAAGATTTTAAAGCATCAAATTGTTAAAGATAAAATTTGGGACATTAAAGTTCAGAGAGGCGAAACTTTATGCCTCTAAACTATAAATTATCCAATAAATAAAGTTGAAAATTATATAATTTGCATTTTTTCTGCAACTAAATCTGAATAAAGTAAATAAAACCTTATCTTAGGACATATCAACTAATATATCGCCAATATCAGGGATATATTATCAAAAAGTAATTAAAAAGTGGTAAAAAATATTTAGACCATATTGTTTTGCATCTTATTTAGTGTTGCTCATGTTTTATATGTGCACCTCGTAGTGACAATTAATATTGTCGATAGGGTCACAATATAACCTACTTTGGCTCGTTTGTTATCAAATATTTTCCATCCAACTTTATTTGCTTGGTATTATTAACATTCTGAAGGTATCGATTGAAGATTATAGATGTGGACCCTTCATGAGTAAAACCTTAGTTGGCTGGTTGGAAGACACTTTCTGGTGGAGAAATATACAATATCTGAGGAAGCCTACAACAAAACTCAACAGTGAGCTTCTTGACAAATTTCCTTGTGTGCCTACCATGCAATATAATGGTGATGTCAGCATTAATTCGATTTAGTATACGTAGGCTTTCAAATTTTTAACTTCTCTGTGTGGTCACTTTTAAAGTCACAATGAGAGAATATTTCCTGGATATATTCAATGTTGCATTGTGCCATGTAATGTTTAGAGTCTGTTTGACCGAAATAAGTGTGGAATATAAGGTTGTAGTCATCTATCAATGCTTTAAAAACCTTCCCCTAGCCCACCTAGGCTTACGCCTAGCCCTACATTGCACATTGGCCACCTACCTAGTGCTTAGCGCCAATGCGATATCTAGATTTGCCCACTTATATTTTGGGGGTGCCTAGGGGAGGGTGGTCTGTCTACATAGACTGTACTGTTTAGTCATTGATCATGATTTTCTCCATTGCAGTATCCACATCCTCCAACCTCCTTCAAACTCCAATTGTGAACACCTTCTCTACCTCTCCCAACATTGAATAAAACATCCTCCAACACCACTTGAGAAATTTGCCTTGGTGTCAGTCCAACGCCTAAACTTTCGATAAAATTGGTATTTGCTAGGAATAATTATAATTAAATACTAAAAATAGGAAAGTGCCTAGACCTTGCCTTGGCTTTAGCCTAGACGCCTAGGCTGTAGTCCTCAAGTCCAACGCATAGGCCTCCTAACGCTTACTGTAACATTCTCATTCATTGCTCAAGAAATACAAAATCGTATAAATCAGATTGGGATTCTTTCCACAATAGAAAGCTGAACAATGGTAGCATGCTGAAACTGAATGCATATCGTTGAATTTAGGCCCCACAAAACTTTATGCTCTGTTAAGTGGATGAAAATCGAGAATTCTGCAGAAAATAATATGTTGATGTTGTAGTATGATGGGGCTTATTATGGTCATTTCTTGGATGGAAGGTGTTAGATATTTTGTTGAGAAAAGACAATTTTGCCTTCATGAATACTAATAAAATTTTTATAATTAAAACATGTTTTAATTAGCAATTAAAAATATGTGTAACGGCTATATAATTATGGGGAACGTTACAAAATTTATGACGAACGTTACGGAATTAATTACGGATTTTGTAACGTCTTTTCCAACCCTATATATATATCCGTATGTTGAGCTCAAAATGATAAGAAAAAATATACAACAAGTTTCTCTTGTTTTTCTTCTCTCCCCTACATATTATTTTCATCTACATCTTAGTTTTATTTTATGGGCAACTTCCTTCATCTGAGCTGAAGCTCTGCACTCTCGCCCGAGTACAGAGGTCGGTCATTTCCGGGGGCTTTTACCGCTAGGGAGGAGGGAACCATCTGTGCCAGGGCGATAGGCGGGTTCTCAATCTTCTAGGACAGTGAATACACGACTGCTCCCGTCAGGCCTGAATTTCATACCTCTTGTTTATTTTAATTTCAGATTTACTTCATGCTATAATCTTAATTATTTGATAATTTTCTAACAATCTAGAAGATTGAGAATTTAGTATAGCTGTTTAATTATTAAATCCGAAAATATATATTTCTTTCTGTTTAAAAAAAATTATTATTAACTTTTTTTTTGTTGAATAACTTCATTTGTAACGCTACATGAATAATGTGTTACAGTCTTGTTATCAATTCAATATCATGCGTCAGTTAAAGCTTATAATATGCCCACAAACATTATTATGTTGGTTGCATGCATGATAACCATCAAGCTCATAGCAATGTGATCACATGCTCACAAAGTGATATCTAATCCATTTGTTTCCCTATGTAACAATTTTTTTAACAGTTTCCGTTACTGTTAATTTAAAACCATACTTTTCATTTTATAGTAAAAATTTTACTGTTCATTAAAAAACTGTTTACTGTTTACCTAGAGAATCATTTTCCTTGTTCATAAAAATGCAATTAATGTTCATTCTAGGAAAATACGGTTTCTGTAACCATTTTCTTACTTTATTTTAATTTCTATGATTAATTATAATTAATTAATGTCACTATAGCAATTAAGTTTTCATGATAGTTACTGTAGCAAATTACAATGCCATTCATAAAGAGTAAAAGTGTAAGTCTTGTTCGACATTTTGCATAATTTATGTGAATGTGTAAATTGTTTATTTTACATAGCAGCAATCATTATGATCTCTTAATAGCTAAATCTGTAATTAATTGTTTTAATTACTATTATTTATTCCATTAATTTAATTGTATTAATTAAATTGTAATTAATTATTACTAATTAAGTTTGACCGTTAATTACAACTTGTTTGTTGTTGTCATTAAACCTTATTTTGATTATATGCACGCATTTGTAATTTATTCTTGAAAGTCTCATGTACATGGTTTTGACAAGAATAAAGAGAACAAACTCTAGATGCATAGATACTTTGAAATATCTGGATTTGTTCATGGTTTAATACTTTCATTTCTTTAAGCTATCAATAATATGGTGTCTTCTATTAATAATTACATACTTTGGAGTGTTTATGCATCTAATAAGCTTAGTACAGAAGGTGGTAAAAGTGAATGCAAATTTGTTCAGCAACTTATATGGCAGTTGTCTGCAGCAGATGGGTTTTTACTCTCAAGACATGAAAATCATGAGGTTCGAACATCAATAGGTAAACCCCTCCTCTGCCTTATCCAACATATGTTTGTAGTATAATTGCTTGGCAAATTAAATGATTGCAGGAAATAATTTAAAGTTTCTATATACTGTTAAGGAACAAAAACTCATTGAGTGAACCGATTCAAGTTTTCTTGGATTAGTTAGTGTCTAAGGCAAGGTTTAAGGGTTGCGTAACGCGCTCTGCAAGGAATGAGGTACTTAATTGATCTTTGATCAACCTCTATTACTATCCTTACCTGGCTAACTACCCGGGTAAAACTTTAATCTTTTCACTTTAGGAGTTTTTGGTTTGGAATAAGAGGACCAGAATTATGAGAATAATTCATATGCATTTATTTAATTATGCTTCTTGTATCATATATTGCCTAATGATAAATGATCAATATACGAGCGAACCAAATCAAAGAGGTGCATCTTTTAAAATTCTATTTTATATGGTGGATTATATTTCAAATCTTCAAATGTAAAGTCCATCTCTTTTATTGCATTATGATGGATATTGCAATAAATGTTCATATGTCTTTTGGATAACTTGCATTTGTTACATGATTAATTACAAGGTTTTATGCAAGAATGCACTTGAAAAATTTAAAGCATGTATGTACAAATATTATTATTATTATTATTTGTATAAGAGGTGGTACTAGAAAATAACAGCATAAATTTGGAAGGTCTCCTTTGTAGACAACCAATTTAAATTTGGAAGGTCTCATTTGTAGGCAACCGATTTAAATTTGGAAGGTCTCCTTTGTAGGCAACCAATTTGTAACCTCTTATAATAGAATATTTTAAAAAATTTATGCATTTGAATTATGAAGTATGAAATATATTTTAAGATGCAAAATCCTATTATAAGGTTCTCTTTAATGCTCAGCATGTATCTATTATT